TAGAAAGCCTCATCTTTCTCCCGCAGAGCGGCTGGTAGTTTCGAACCGCTGACCTTAAGGTTCGCAGCCCGATTCGTAACCACTACGCTACCAGAGCTCATAAGAATGATAAATTTGGAAATGACCCTTCAATTTATAATGGAAAACCTATCATTTTCTTTTTCTTTATGACCACACAATACCTCCCTGAATATTACCTGCTCCAAATGCTGGCTTAACAAAATTTCAGCTATTTTGAACAGCTAATATTAACCAAGATGTTAGCTTCACCATGAAAGTGATTAAAATCAAACCAAAACAAAACACAATACTATTAATTTGGGAGAGGAGGAAGAGATGAGTAGGAAATAAAGTAAAATGGACATTAAATAGATAGGAAGCAACCAGAATGCTCATTTCTTTCTAGGAGGTCCCTGTTAACTATTTAAGTCAATCAAAGGGGGAAAACAAAGATACACAAATGTAGAACCTATCTGTGTTATTAAGTCAGCAGGTTAAGAATTAAGTTGTGCTGGCTTAAAGTGACCTGCCATAGGGTGGCAAGACTATCACAACCCACACATTTTCTAGATATCACTGGGATCACTCCTATGAAAAACAAATTCTGTGATGATTCCATCAGAGAAAACAGGGCAAGAGGAAGACAGGAGTTTATAATTTCATGTTATCAATAAACAGGTATTTTCACTATGTACAAGGTACAATAAAAGATAACAAATCACAGCCCTCGTTCTCAGTTGATAGTACAATATATAATAAAAAACTGAAAAACAACAAAATTAATTTTTTAAGTATAAAATAAAACATAAACCCAGCTACTAGGTATTGGTAAGTAGCCACACAAGTATACACATGAACACATGATTTATAGCCACAAGCTATAATAATTTAAAATACCTCTATGAATTCCAAGATCTGTTGAGCAGAATGATGCCCTTCATATTCATGAATGTTGGACTGGTTAAATACCACTGTTGTTGGATAAGCCTGGATGTTATACTGTTAGGAATGAGAATACAAAAGAAATATTTTCTTATTTTACCTAATTGTTGCAAGTTTATAACCAACTTGCCTTTATTTAAAACGAAACAAAAGAAAAATCCCAAAGAACAAAAACCCATTGCTAAATTGCTGTTGGTGACTGAAAAATTTTAGTCTGGAAAAATTTTAACAAAGGAAAGGCATTCATGATTGTACTGATGAATAAATGACCTTCATTTATGGTTATCCCATTGCCATGAAAACCATAGATATCAAACACTGAGAGGTTAAGCATGCTTGGTCCCTTTTAAATCTCTTGAACACAGCAGGAGTATGTGAAAAGAAGTTTATAACTCTTAAGGAGAATCTTTAAAAAGACCAAAACCAAACCATATTGTGGTTGTGTTGTTAAGTGCCTTCAAGTTGATTCTGACTCATAGAGACCCTGTGTAGAGTTTCCAAGGAGCAGCTGGTGGGCTACAACCCCCAACCCTATAGTTAGCAGTCCAGTGCTTACACGCTACACAAGGACTCCAAAATCCCTATTAGATACTCTAATTTTTCTAGAAGCAGAAGAAAATTATGGATATAGAAGAACAAGAAAAATAAGAAATTAGTAATTCAGGTATAGAAGGCGTATACCTTCTAAGTCAAAGACCACATGCTCTATGACTGTGGTCACTTTATATTCTAGGAATCAAGACAGTCTCTATGGTAACAAAATACTTAAATTTCCTTCTCAAAATCAGTTTGGGCACTGGCCCAGGAAGTATCTTTCTCAAATTTTTATTTAAAGAGTTGAGTCCTGGTATGGCATTCTGGGATAAGCACTGGATTGCTAGCCACAAAGTTGGTGATTCAAATCCACCAGCCACCCCAGGAAATGCTATACAGGGTCACTATGAGTACGTACAGACTCCAAAGCACTACATAACAATTTGTAAGAGTTATAAGGGATCTCTACCTGTTGACTAAGGATCCTGGCACAGTGGTTAAACATTTGGCTACTAAGGTTTGCAGTTTGAACCCACCAGTCACTCCAAGGGAGAAAAACATGGGTTTCCGTCTGTGAAGATTACAGCCTTGGAAACCCTATGGGGTAGTTCTGCTCTGTCCTATAGGGTTTCTAGAGTTGCAGTTCCCTTGACAACAGGTTAGGTTTTACCATGGATTAAGAAGCCCTGCTGGCACAACAGGTAAGTGATGAGCTGCTAACAGAAAGGCTGAGGTTAGTGGTTCTAACCCACCAGCAGCTTCCTGGGAGAAAAGACCCAGCAATCTACTCTCATCCCAGGAAACCCTCCGTGACACTAAGTCCTACAGGATTGCTGTGAATCGGAATTGACTTAATGGCAAATAGCATCTGTGGAGTTGCTGTAGGTGAATGTTGCATTTGTTAAATTGGTAAACACACATTTGCAAATAGAATCCTTGACTATGATTTAGAAATTTAAGTCTTTGACTAGAATTTAGAATAAACAGTGGAATCACCTTATCTATTGTAAAAAAAATGTGTGCAAATTCAGATCAATTGTGAAGATTAATAAAACAACTATAACTTTTAACAAGCACTTACTACATTTACTACACTCATTGAAATGTTAAGATGCTAAGTGACTTACACAAAGCCACCCAACTGATGAGTAGTGAATCTGGACCTCTAATCCAGGTGAATTTGAAACCAGTTTTAACAGTCTTATGCTTTACAAAATTAAGTATATATTTTTAATGAGTTGAGAGAAAAACTAGAATATGGGAAGAAATCAAATTAAGAAAATTATTATTTATCATATTAATGCTGCATCTTTGGCTGGCATTTCTTTTCAAGGTCACACAGAAGATACTCAAATACAACGTCCTGATTTATATGTTTATTCATTTTAAATGAAGTTTCACTTGTACTGAAGAGAAAATAATAACAAATACATATTTATCCCTTCTCCTATATTTAACAAAGGTGAACTTTTTTCATACTGGCAGATTTGTGAAGTTCTCTTAATAGCCCTTACTTGGTCCCATTTACCTCCTGGCCACATAGTAGGGGCAGCCAGTATTCTGAAATTAGTAGCTTTATTGATGTTTTTATACTTTGAGTACATGTGCATATATCCCTAAAGTACAAAACTATTGTTTTGAGTATTTAAATTTTTTCTGTAGTTTTATCATACTCTGTATATTATTCTGCAACTTGCATTTTTATATTATGTTTTATTTGTAGAATTTAGCAATGTTGGTGATGATGAATCTAGTATTAAATGCTCTGTAATATTCTACTGTGTGGCTGGAGCATAATTTATATACATTTAGTATTGTAAGAGGAATCCTGGTGTGGTGCTGCAGGATAATGCACTGGACTGCAAAGTCTGTTTGAACCACAAGGTCGGCAGTTCAAACCCACCAGCTGCTCCCTGGAAATCCTAGACAGGGTTGCTATGAATTGAAATAGACTTGACAGCACTTAATAATAACAACAACTATTGTAAGAATTCTGTTTTATGAAATGTCAATAACCTTTCCTAATTTTTTTGGTGTTGAAACATTGATCCGTGATCTTTAACTATTCTAGACACTAATGTGTTGCCAGTTATCTGTGCCATAAATACTTCCTCAGTTTGTTTTACTTTATAGTATCTCCATCTTTGTTATATATATATATTATAATAT